TCTCTCCTCCCTCCTCCTCCTCTCTCTCTCTCTCTCTCCCTCCCCTCCCTCCCTCCCTCCTCCTCTCTCTCTCTCTCTCTCTCTCTCTGGGAGTGCTTTACACCCATGAATATAATAAGTTTTCTATCGTAATATATCTACCTCTTCATGTTGTTTGTAAGTTTGCGATCGTGATCATAATGTGACTGAATAGTCATGTTCTTGTAACCTCTTTCTGTGTTTGCCTGCGCATCACACACTGCTTATGTAGTTCCTGTTTAATTAGCTATTAGTTGGAACCCTAAAAATTTATGGTTTAGTTCCAGGAAATAGGGAAAATTACTAAAAGCTCGTCAGGGATGAGCATAATCAAGATTTGGATAGGTATCTTTTCATATGAGAACCCCTTCTGCTGTGCGGGTTATATGTATACAGATTATTATCAAGACCTGACGTCTGATTTTTCTTCTGATATATCTGATTATATCAGTTCCGTCTTTATCTGACTTTTACATCTCTGCCAATTCGATTTATGATTCCATTTTTGTGAAAGTCCCTTAAATGTAACTGCTACATGTTAGGGTTTTGCATTTAGTTTTTTTGTGTGGTATGGTTTCTATATGGACACCATTGCGCCTGCATGCAACTGCGAGCGTGTGAAATAATTTGCATTTATTTATCGGTCTGTTTTAAGAAAATCTCCATGATATTAGAGCAGTATCTTTCTTTCATGGATGGCTAGAATGTGTCTATTTGGAGGAGAACTATTTCCAGTTTTCCCTATGTGGTGATAATGAATTGCCTCGTTATTGCTGTACGTCAATAGACAGAAGGTGAAAAAATAGACTTATTGTCGGTCTTTAACTCGTATGTTTTTTTTTGTTTTTTTGGAGTGTTAACTTGCATTTCTCATGAATGTTGGTAAATGATTTCTATTCAGCACATGGGTGTGCCATCAATTTTCAGGGTACTGCCCTTATGCATATTCTAGGGTTTGCAGGGATTTATATTCTATTGAATGCTATACTTTATTCTGGATTTAATTGAAATGTGAAAAAGTATTTCCCAACAACCTAAATTTTGTACAGAAAACAAGATGAACATTTTGCTTCTTATGATTGCTGTCTTTAACGGTAGTCTTCACATTTTCCAAGAACAGTAAAACTTTCTTTTCTAAATCCAGAGTGTGGTAGTGGTGCAAAATGTTACAAATATTCTTTATCTACTGTTGCAGCTTATATGTTTCTTTTTTTGGTTCAGTGATGATCTGCTTTTGCAAGAGGAAGGTTCTGATTCAAGCTCTTTGAGCTCTGCACCTGTTCTTGGTGGGCGCCCTAGCCATCCTCCGAGCTCTACATTTCTAACTGGAGCTATCAGGCCTCACCGCAGTGGCAACCACCCACCAACAAGTACAAGCTCCAGTTTTCCTGATCAAAGGTATGTTCTTATTAAAATTATTCATTGATTTTTTATTTTCCTACAAATGAAAAGGACTTATTAATTTTCTTACAGTGAACATCCCTGACTATTATTGATTGACTCAGCAAAACATGCACCCATGTCTTGTTGGAGTTGTGATTCTTGGTGTCACTTGATGTATTTGTTCCCAGTAACTTTGTACTAAATTGTTTCAGCAGCTATGTATTTTGTAACTGTTCATTTAAATGTCTACACTTGGGAAGAATTCTAGGAGCAAGCTTGGGGTCTCTTTTGCTATCTCAGATACAGATACCAGGATCATAGGTTTGGTACCCTGCATGGTTTATCATTCATTATGGATGACTGATGTGCATATCATATGCACATATGCCGATTCAACAATGTTCATGACATTTGATCTTGTTCAGGAGTCCTATTCTGAATGCGGACCTGCTCTGCTTATCTCTGTAGCAAATATATGCATGATTATCTATGAGTTGATAATTATTAAGGAGATTATAGCATGACGCACATTTTATCTCCCTTTGTCTCTTAAAATATTTGTTATTTTATGACATTTTTTCTTTTTCTAATAAATGCTACCATATTTTGTATGTTTTTTACCTTCTGTCAGAGCAAATGGACCTTTCCAGGCTTATGGCTATGCAGAGGGTTTTCCTCCACTTCCTTACAATATGCAAGCTGGTTATGGCCATCTAAATTCAAAGCCTCTACATCACATGCCTCTTTTAGCTCCTCATAATTCCCCAAGCCGTTTGGGACAGCAAACAAGCCATCATTACCAGCCCATATTGAATCCACCATTTGCTATTGACGAAAGGATACAGTTAAGGGGCCCACCAAGCTGGGCCTCTGTAGGCCCACAATCCCCTGGAAGGAGTCCCTTTGCAAACGATACATCATGGGGTAACTACTTGCACATTTCTTCTTCTATGTGATAAGATAAACTATTGCTTCACAAACTAAATTGCACGAGTTCTTCAATTTGAGACATTTACCTTGTATATGAACAGGTTGTTTTCATCGATTTAAGTCGAGTGCTTTGGGAATTAAATGCTTCTTTTTGCCCCTTGTTTTAATATATTGAGTAGATTACATCTCTCATGCTTTTTATAGCATTAACTAAACCTTTATGAAGGTCACAACTTCCCAAAGGCTTTAATATTTTTATACTCGGTCAAATATTCAGAATTGTCTAAAATTTGTTTTTGTATTCGTTAATGACTATTTTCCAAAGATACTTAGACATGATCACAAATGTGCGGTTTCCTGTCCTGGCCTTCTCTCTCTCTCTCTCTCTCCCTGTGTTCGTGCGCACATGTATGCGTTTGTGTGTGCACGTGCGTGCATGTGTGTAGTATCATATCATACTTGGCTAGTGTGTCCAGTATCATGTTCTGCAGTATCATCAAATTCTTCCTTTTCATACTCAAGTAACAAGATAAAGGGTTGTTTTCCTAATGGCCAGCTGCTTCTCATAAAATTTAATTTGTTTCAAAATTCAAATATATCTCTTTGCCTTTCGGTGCCTTTTTTGGCACTTAGTTTGTAGTAGAGGCATAATTCTCAGTGACTTGTGTTGTAGGGCGAAGAGCTGGGCATCCAATTACCACTATTCCACCTACAGCTCACGGAAGAAACGAATATGGAAGGATTTCTTAATGTGGCGTGCATGCAATCAATCAAAAAAAAATTTGGCGGGTGACCTCTGGAGCATTAATAGACATGGAAGCATTGCTTAATGTGCCAAGCAATCAGAAAAGAAACAAAAAGAAAAAAAAGGAAGAACAAGAAATGGGAAAAGGAATGTGGCAGCCAACTTGGCACCCACACCTCAATATCTGCATTCTTTGTTGGCTCTGAAAATTTGTAACCACTGATCCATCTGCCTTGCCTTGTACCACCTAGGAAAGGGCATTTGTTTCTTCTTGTTAATGCAATGTGCCTCTTAAAGTTAATGGAATGGTTATGGTCTCAGTGCGTTATGCTCTATTGTTGTGTTCTGTTTTTGTTATTTAGTGTTGCAACAGTGAAATCAAGTGTCTTTTAAAACAAGTCAAAGAGGGAAATTATAATATGACATTCTGACAATTATGAATGCTAACAATAGCACTATTTTGAGCCAATTTTTTTAACATTTTCTACAGATCTTTTATTAACATTTAAACAGAAAAACAGGAGTTCCATGTGGTTCAAGAGTGGGGCCATTTGAATGATTGCAATAGACAGGTTGAACGCCGACTCATTGGTCTGGACAAAGAAGAACTTATGTGAACCATTGGATTTTGGTTTCAAGTATCAACTTATCTGCCATAATATGTAGATTGGGATATAGTGGTCTTTTAAAGGATTGTTTAGGTTTGTAGCTTATCTATTTAGTTGTTTAATTCTTGATGAACATTCTGCATTTACAAATTTTGATCAACGTAAGACTTCTGTTACCATCTTACACTTTGATAATTCCTTGTTTGACAGGTGTTACCATGATCTTGCCTCTAGACAGTTATCTACTGTGACTGAGGTCTCATTCTTGCCTTCTGTGCTAACCAAGTAACAAGGTCTATACCTTTGAGGCATGCAAGAGAGGTATGTTGGCTTTCTCATGAAGTTCATATTTTCAAGATGTTCTATTCATGTAAGCACTAACCGTATGTGTGCTTGGATAACAAAATAGCTAATTTTCAAAGCTTGCTAATTTTCTTTGAGGAAAATGAGACACAATAGTGCATGAAAAAACTGGCACAGCATGCGTACTCAAGAAGCATAGGAGCTCCGACAAATGCTTGGATAAGTGACCATATATCTTCTATTAGAAATATTATTCATTGCAGGGACATGGGATTGTATGAACCAAAAAATGATTTTCAAAACAAAGTTCTTAAAGCGTCTATAGTTCTCAGATTTATTAAACTGTTATATTCACTATGTTGCCCCTTAATAATTAATTTATAGAGAAAAAATTAAGACAAAAAGGGGTGTTACAGGTAAATTGTATGTTGCCTCTTAATAATTAGTTTATGGAGAAAAAATAAAAACAAAAATGTATACTACAAAAAGGGGTGTTCAGGTAAATTGTATGTTAGGACTTTCATGTTCTTCCTCCACCCAGGGTTTTATCTTTTTCCTCTCACCCTCGTCATCTACAACCAATCGAAGGTTTTGAGTTTTTTATCCTTTTCATGTCTTTTTCTGTCAGCCTCATCACACGCTCTTCAATAAAAGATTAAATGCCAAAGAGCTAAATTGTCAAATGTAAAAGAGTTACAAAAAGTTTCTGTTATATGCATTTATTTCTAGAGTCTCTAGGCATTTAAATGTTTAAGGGCATGCCACAAAAAAATTCAATCAATGTCCAGGCATCTGTGAGATTTTTTATCTTTGAAGTTTGTCCTATGAAATGTTTTATGTACTGATGTGTTCATTTTCCCTTTTCTCTATTGTCCAACTATTTTTGTTCCTTTCTATGAGTCTTTTTGGATGATAAGCTATGGATTTTTACTACGACAGATGGTTGCATTTGCGTTAGAAATATCTTTGAAGTCTTTTATGTCCTTCCAGGATTTTAGAACTCAATTTATCCCTATGCATTCTGATATGTTTCCTCAAGTAGTGAGATTGCTTACTCTTCTTCAAGGAGCAATAGTCAGTGCACATAGTCCGGAAATGAAATGAAATATACCTGCAACTAAAATGCGTTGACTTTGCGAATAGGAAACTTCCCCCCCCCCCCCCCTCCTCTCTCTCTCTCTCTCTCTCTGTCATTGGAACAATTACTACCTGTATCTCATGCTCTTGTTGTCGTCTTATCGTCCTTTTTCTTTTTCTTTATTTTCCTAAGATTTTTACTTTTGTTTTAGTAACTTGTTATCAATGATGCCATTTCTATTACTTGGCGAGTTCCATGCTTCTTTGTTCTTTATTCACTTTGACTTGTCTCTGTGCCTGATTGCCCCCTTCCTAAGCTTTATTGGCTTTAGTATATCGTTTTTCCTTTTGTTTTTACCCTCACCAAATATTTCCTTGGTAGATTTGGACCCACAATTATTCCATTCAAAGAAAATAAAGGAGGAATGACATAAATTGGAAAAGGGAAGATTTTTCTTTTCAGATTTTGGAATATTGTAGTTTTTCTTTCCAATTAATGGCAGGTTATTTTGGCTTCATAGACAGGAAGAGCTACCATGAATTTAGATAAGCTTATTCTCTGTCTATGAGGGGTTGTATGCATGTACTATTTTTCTTATTGAATAGTATTTGAATCTTGAGGGATTACCGAGTCGTATTCTTGAGCTTTCTTTCTCATCAGTCGAGCACTGAGAGTGGATTAAGGACGTCTAGCATGGAACTGGTAGGCACGAGTCAGTTCATTGTATTCTTGATTCTTACTTTATTATCTGTTTGCAAGATTATTAATTTGTACTTTTGTGGGCCAGCCGGGAAAGGGAAGGAAAATAAATAAATTTGAGAAATATGGTCCTGTTTGTTGTCTGTTCGACTGTTTGACGTTCTTCAGTCGCTACTTGTTTTAAGGTGCCCACCTGGTAGTCGCAATACTTCTATGTTTTGGAAGGGAATCTCTGTCTCTCTCTCTCTCTCTCGCAAAATCAAACCGGGACGGTTAACCGGATATGGGGCCGGAAGCGGTTTAACCGGCCTTACAGGTAAACCGGCCGATTCAACCGTTCTAACTAGGCTCATGGCGGTCAAAAAATTGTTGCAAAAATAAAAGAAATACAAAAAAAATCTTGTAAAATATGAAAAGCATATAAAGAATGATTAAACCAAAAAATATTGAAATGAAGTTGAAAATTAATGAAAAAAATGGATTTTAAAGGTGAGTAAGGTTATTTTTAAAAATTTTAGGGTATTTTTAAAAATTTTGGAAAAAGATAAGAAAGTATAAAAGTGAGTATTAATGATCAAAACAATTTCTAATATTAATATTGAAAAATATATTACAAATCAAATTGTGGAATTATATATATATATAAATTCTGGAATTATATATATATTTTTTTAATTATTATTTTTAAACTGGCCGGTTCCGATCCAACCGGGTGGTTAACGGTTAGATCACCTGCTCTCTCTCTCTCTAAACAAAAATGTCAGCTGTTGTCCCAAAATTGAATCAAAATGATGTCCCTATCCAGTCCCACATTTGGAAGCCTGTTGAATTTAAGAGTATACAATCGGATATTGAATTTTCTACCCATCATTTTGCGTGATCAGAGTACGTAAGCACAATATCAAGAGCAATAATTAAAAAGATGAGTGCCCACAAAGTACTCTCAACAATAAATAATAAACTTTGAATCTTAGTTAATCATCTATAATTATGACGTCTCTTTACAAATATTATTATGAAGAGTTAATTTTTTTAGTTCTAATAGCTATTTTGTTTTACCATGAACTTTAATAAAATGTTTTGATTTCAACAAAATTAACAATAAATATTAAACTTTGAATATTTGTTAATCATCTATAATTATGATGTCTCTTTACAAATATTATTATGAAGAGTTAATTTTTTTAGTTGTAATAGCTAACTTGTTTTACCATAAACTTCAATAAAATGTTTTAATTTCAATAAAATTAGTAATTAGTTTTTCTTTTTATATGTATAAAAGAAGGGCATCATGTGTTTCAAATCAATTTCTAGTAACTTTTCCACATATCAACTAAAATGATAAAAATTGCATACATTATAAACTTCCTCATAATTTAGATGGTCCATTATTTCCATTGTCAAATTATTACTCTAAGGCACATTAAAATTTAGGGGAACTTCATTATTTCCTTTTCAAATTATTACTCAAAAGCACATTAAATTTTAGGGAAACTTTTCAAGTTACACCTATCTTATTAACTATTTACATTTCACCCATTTTTAACTATCAACTTATGATCATGTACACTTTATAGGTATTTTTCAAATTAAATCAAAACAAAGTGGAAAAATGTCAAATAGTTTATATCGTAGATGCTAAAAGATTACTAAGTTCACCTTGAGATTCAAGAATCATAAGCTTGCAAATTATCGGATCACAAAAATGCTTAAATTAAACTGCTCTACTTGCTATTTGATTATAACTTTTATACTCTTAAATATACTTTTTATTCATTTTATTCTTAATTAATTTTTATCATAACAAAGTACTCATTTCCTAAAATTTGTAAAATTTTAAAGAAGCTAAAATATTTTATATTATAAATTCTTAAGTTAAGTATGGCTTCTGTTATTTTTAAGTAATTTATGCCACCATAAAACAATTTGATTTTTTTAACATATTGTAATTCATTGTGACTACAAAATAATTTCCAAACTTATAAGTTTGAACTTATTTTTTAAAAATCGTTTATGGCTATGCAAACTTATTCTTTTTCCTAAAAAATGTCATTATTAAAACCTAATTTACGCAGTTTTGTTATAAATTTTTTGAATTCTATTTATATATCCTACATATATTAAACCATAATTAAGCTTACAACAAGTACCATTCATTTAGATAATATACTTAGCAATGGTTTAAAAAACGGATCGGTGACCCGGATCGGGCTTCCAAAAAACCGATCCGGATCGG